GGCCTGATATTTTCTTCTTTTTGTACTTTTTCTGTTATTCCTATTTCAACTTAAAGGTTATATTAACCTCAGAATGAGTTGGGTGGGGGATATTCATTCCCTCTCTACTCTATGGATGAATTTGTATGTTTTTGAGATGATCTGTCTTGAAATTTCTGCGGAACTCTGAAAAAACTGTGCGGAACAGGAGACATCCCAGGGCAGAACTATAGTGCCAGTCCGACCAGGACCCCGACTGCAATGCCAATGAGGGACCCCACAGGGAGGCCTGTGGTGCTTCTTTCATCTGAAATAAAAAGAAAAAGGGAGGGGAATGAGTCCCAAGGCAAATCTGGGGAAGCCAGGAGGGGCCGTGGGGGAAGGGCCTGGTTAGGGAGGAAGGAAAGGCCACTGGGTCTGGGTGATGTGTGTGTTGTCACCACAGTGTCCCCACCCCCTTGACCGCTGCACCATTTCTGTTCCTCACAGTGAAACCCTGGATTTGCTTTAATCCTCACGTTGTGCCCCCACCCCAGGGCCGGTGCTGGCATCCTGTTTCATTTCCTCTCACATTATGCCTCTTCCCCTGTGTCTTCTGTTCCATCATCATTGATGGTCTTAGAGGGAAGCCCTTAGAAGTCCACTCAACACCGATTAAAGAGAATAACATTAGCTGACTGCTTTTGAGGTCGGCCCTGTGCCAAGCACGTGGGAAATACTTTATGTTTATCTCATCTGCTGCTTCCCGGCCCATGAGGGACCCGGGTGTCACCCCACTGTGCAAAATGAGCATCTGAGTGTGTAAAGGGCTTCAGTAAATCAGTGAGGGTCAGAGAACTGGAACGTGATCAGACAACACTTAATCCCAAATCCCCGAGATATTACAGCTACTTACAAAAATGTTAATAACAAAAGAACAATAGCTGCTAAGTTTGATTGAGGCCAAGTCTGTAAATGACGCTGTCTCAATTTCATCACATGAACTCATTTTAACAACCTTCACAACAGCCCGAAGATCCAGCTGTTCTTTCCAGTTTTAGAGATGAGGAAACTGAGGTTCAGGAGGTTGAGCATCTTGCCCGAGGTCCAACATTAGAACCAAGATGCTAACAAGATTCGTCTAATTCTGGGGAATTTTATCCACATTGCCCTAGAGGCTCTGAAGGTGGCTCCCACCTCCTCCAGGCCTGCATCCATTTCACACCCCTGCCAGTAGAATATACAGGGAGGAGGAGGGAGAGGTTGAGGGTCACTCACAGCTCACATCCAGCCTGATGGGGTCACTTTTGCTGGAACTGACCCAGCTGGAGACCTCACACTGGTAATTCCCGGCATCCTCCCTCCTGACAGGGTCTATGGTGAGGGTCCTGTTGTCCTGGGACAGCTTCATCCTCTCTGTGAGCTTTAGACTCTGGCCATTGAAGAACCAGTGGATGGAGACCCCAGCGTTGTTTGTGGAACAGGTCAGGACCACAGAGTCCTTATCTTCTGTGACTGTGGTGTTGCTGGCATGGAGAGAGGGCTTGGATATTGGCTCTGTGGGGAAACACAGCATGTCACTAAATGAGAATGGGCCTGGGGCCCAGGGCTACGCACCTTCCTTTGAGATCTTGGACACTTCAAGGGCCCCAGCGAGCTCTGTAAAGGTGCCCCAGAGGATGGCCCTGCTGTCTGCAGAAGGATGAGTGTCTTTGTTCAGGTGACGATCTGTAAGGAGAAGGCTGTACCTCCCCCTCTGACCCTCGGTCATGTGTCTGCTCTGCCTGGACATCACTGTAGTATCAGCACCTGGAACCTCTTAGCCCACGTGGCCAGCAACCTCATTATCATGAGGAATTTTTTCCCATGGACTTCGGTGTGATTTTCTTGAACTTTTGTGACTTTAAAAATCAGGCCTCATTCCTTATATACATTGCCAGGTATGTTGGGGGGAGAAGACTCACAACCCTTCTATCTCCGTGTCCAGGGCAGCTTCATGTAAAGTAGGGAAGGCATTTGCACTGTTTTATTTACTAGGGAATGAAAGCCGCTTGCCCTGTCTTCATTACCTCAGGAGTCAAAGAGTTTTCAATCTACAGGATTTCTCTACAGATCTGTGGATTGACTCTCATGGTGAAAAGCTTCTGTCGAGTGGTGGTTACTATATACAGAATACTGGCACCCTTGCAAATAGAAGGAAACTACTGAACATAATAAAAGCCTTACATGAAACGCCCAGAGCTAACATCACACACCATGATGAAACACTGAAAGCCGTTCCTCTAAGATCAGGTAGAAGATAAACATCCCACTTTCAACACAGGACAGAAGTCCAGGCACAAAAACTTAGGAAAAAAAACCACAATGTGATCAAATTGGAAAAAAAAAAAAGTACAGTTATGTCTGTTTGCACATGACATGAAATTTTATATACAGACCCCTAGAGATTCCACTAAAAACTGTTGAACTAATAAACAACTTCAACAAATTTGCAGGATACAAAATCAACATACAGAAATCACTGTGTTGCTAACACTAACAATGAAAAACACAAGAAAGAAATAGGAAAACCATTTTATTTGCAATAACATTAAAAAGAATCAAATACTTAGGAAAAAAGAATCAAATACTTAGGAATAACTTAGTCAATAGACTGTATATGGAAATCTATAAAACATTGCTAAAAGAAATTACAGAGGACGTAGATAAATGGAAAGACATCCCATATTCATGGTGATGAAACTTAGTCTTGTTAAGATGACAGTGTTATCCAAAGAGATCCACAAATTCAGTATAATTCTTACCAAGTTCCTTTTTTTAAGATTTCATTTTTAAGTACTCTCTACACCCAACATGGGGCTCAAACCTAAAACCCCAAGATCAGGAGTCGTATGCTGCACCAGCTGAGCCAGCCAGGTACCTCCATCTCGAATACTTAAGGAATTGCTTTGCAGAAATAGGAATTTCCAACAATTCACACAGAAATTCAGGGGCCTCAAATAGCCAAACTTATTCTGAAAAAGAACAAAGTTGGAGGACTCCTACTTCCTGACTGCTGAGTTACAGTAACTGATAATAATGAGGTCTGGTATAAAGACAGACATAGAAACCAATGGAATAGAATAGGCATCCCGGAAACAAACCCTGTCACATGTGGTCCAATGACTTTCAAGAAGGCTGTCAGGACCATTCAATGGAGAAAAATATCTATTCAACCAATGGTGTTGGGAACACTGGATATCCATGCAAAGGAATGAAGTTGGACCAGATCTTACATCATGTACAAAAATTAACTTAAATAGGTCAAACATCTAAACATTAGAGTCAAATAGTAAAAGTCTAAAAACAAACATAATGCAAAAACTTATTGAAACTGGATTTCCCAGGGGCACCTGGGTGGCTCAGCCGTGAAGCGTCTGCCTTCGGCTCAGGTCATGATCCCGGGGTCCTGGGATCGAGCCCCACATTGGGCTCCCTGCTCTGAGGGAAGCCTGCTTCTCCCTCTCCCACTCCCCCTGCTTGTGTCCCCTCTCTTGCTCTTTCTCTCTCAAACAAATAAATACAATATTTTTAAAAAACTGGATTTCCCAATGATTTCTTACACCCAAAGCAAAGACAGTAAAAGAAAAAAATAGATGAATTGTATTACATCAAAATGGAAAACTTCTGTGCATCAAAAGACAGAATCCGGAGAGTGGTAGCAGTAGCTATGGAATGAATAGGATATAGGAGTGAAATGTACAGTATAGGAAGTATAATCAATGGTATTTTAATGGGGCTGCAGGGGTCAGATGGGAGCTACATTGTGTTGAATAGAGCATAACATAGAGCGTTGTCCAATCACTATGTTGTACACCTGAAACTATATCACATTGTGTGTCAACTAAAGTTCACTAACAAAGAAATGTGAGAGCAACCCATGGATTGGAAGGAAACATTTGCAAGCCATATCTGTAAGAGGTTAATATCCGGATTATGTAAAGGACTTCTGCAATTCAAGAACAACAAAAAGCAACTTGAGCCAGAGGCTCCTTCTTCCCCATTTGCAAAGCCCCATTTTATGCATGGGGCTTTCTGGAGCTGAGAAGCTCACGCCCCACATTCCAGGC